ATTACTATATTGAAAATGAATTATACAATCATACATTGCAGTAATATTGAAGAATATAAAAAAAATGCGATTTGTTAATGGAACATCAAACTGCGTGATGAAATTGTACTAACGGATGGAAAGATTAATAATTCGATATCGAATCGTTTCGCGTTTATGGCACAGTGCGAACTGACACTGATTACTCGACATAGTTTATTAAAATGGGCGACGGAGTGTAATGGAAAATCCACTTTTCGTGCGCGATTTGTCAGAGAGAGATACGCATGCAATGGTAACGAGTGATGTAACAGATGATTTTATTACAAAATGAGTGTCATAAGAGTGTCCTCTCTTGCTTCTCTATCTGTTGAGTACAGATTTTTTATTATTGTTAGATGATGCCTGCACGTGGCATTAGCCACGTTTTGTTTGTTGTTCGATTTATACAAAATATAAATATATATTAGATGTTGTGTATACGCGCATATTATGTACACTTTATATATATAGGGTATCCGGCATCGGTCATATAAGTCCTGTCAATAGCTACGCACGGATCGCTTGAAGTAAACAATTCCTCACGCGCCTATCAACAATGATCGCCTATCAACAATGAGCGGGAGTATCTTATCGCGCGCTTGCATTTGCCGGTGCTAATACGGTCATTTTTAATAATTAATAACTCGACAATTATCGCGAAACTTGCAAAATGATAGAGGACTTTTCTACTCAGCTCTACCTGCACACGAGAGAGGTGATATGACCGATGCCGGACATCCTGTATATAGAAGTAAAAATTACTTTATATTAAATATATTAAAATTTAAATAATAAGTTTTATCTCACGTTACATTTTTTACAAAAAAAAATATGCTACGTTACTTTACGAATTTATTAATTATAAAACAGAATATTTTTTCAAACTATTTTTATTTCAAGTGTATATGTATATGTGCGCGTGTGAATGATATTACGTGTGAGATATGTAATAATAAATATATTTTCACGCATTTCGCATAATTGCAAATCAAAAAATCCCGCTGTTAATTTAAATAAAATATTGTATTTCAAAAAATACGGTTCTCCAATGAAGTAGTTGCTGTCACAATTATCATTTCCCTTGATCTGCACAGAGATGTCGAATTTCTTCGCGATATCACGCGCAAATCAATATTTCAGATGGCACTTCGAAGCAACGCTCTTTGTTAGATTGTCTCTGTGATCAAACTTTGCATTTCTGCCGTTCACGATGTGGAAATTCACATTCAACATAGCATCGATGACTGTCAGAGTCGATGTTTTATTCCGATTTCGATCAAATTTTCCTCGAACATTTGTCACGCTCCATCTTCCAACTTAATGTTTCATGAATTTGAAAAAAGGGTTTTAAATCGTATATCACAATTTTTTGAAAAAAGAACTTAATAATATTGTGTTAAAATAATCAACAATTAAAAGCGAATAATATACACAAATATATTTAAAAAGATGTTTTAAATATAACATCTCTCTCTCTCTCTCTCGTTTTCTTTAATATAGACATATAATAT